TTTTTAGAAAAAATATTCAATTGAATTGATACTGTATCAAATATTCGCATATGTTGAGTTGCAATGCTTTAGGGAATGCTAAAGGGAAGAATATGGATTTCAAGTCCCTTAAAAAAGTTTCTAAAACTATGATCAAATGGTATACTGTAAATAATATATAGTTTTACTATGTATTTTATAATATTACGATATTTTGAAGATGAAATTTAAGGAGATTTTAAACCTCTAGGGATTTTTAAAGTGTTTTCATAAATGAACTTAATAGCTAAGTTGCCAAGAGCACCTTTTTTGTAATTAAAACAAACAGAATGTACAATTTAAAATAATTCTTCATAATTTATAGATATTATACAACTATTACAGTAGATTATGGGTATTTAATAATACTACTAAACAAATCTGGAAGATATAAGAAATATATTCATTTCCCATTCAAGGATAACTCACTTTTCCTATAATTATACAATTAAGTTTAGCTTTATTTTAGCTCCCATAGAGCTGGGGCTCATCACTGCCATGTAAACATATATTATATGTGTGCATGCATATTTATGATAAATTGCCGCTGTTGGAAAACGTGTCGCTGACATTTTGGCGCCTACGAAAAAGGACACAAACAAAACGAAACAGAACGAAACAGAGCGGCAACCGAGTGAAAGGAAAACTCCGGCGCACAAGTCAAAGTCAGCATGAATATGTTTGCTTGTATGAAATTTTAATAACCCAGCAAAACTGGCATTATTATTGAATTGCCCGAACATCGAAACGGAATGACTTTGTAATGCCAAAAAAAAGAGAGAAAAAAGAAACGTAGAATTTTTATGAAGCTGAAAAGCCATTTAATGTCACGCCACAGAAGTAATCCAGCTCTGGAGTTGATTGGAAAATGCTTAAAAATAAAGCATAATGCCAGGGAAATGGGGGGCTCCTTTCTCTCTGTGTCTAAGCTTTATTGTCTCTGCCATTTGCACCCGCTCAAATCTCTGGTCGCATTCAACCTGTTAGCCCCTCCGTTGCCATCGCATTTATTCGTGCCTACTTTCACTTTCACTTGTTTTTTTGGTGGGTGGAAAAGCGCGCTCAGAGCTCTTTGCGGCTGCTCAAATGTAGTCGTAAAAGCGCTTTTACGTAATGCGACAATGTCGCTGAGACCGGGATGATAATGGTCCCGGGGTCCCCGGGTTCCTACCTCGCTCCCAATCCCCCAATTCCCAGGCACACCCTCAGGAATTGCGACTCGTACGTGTGAAACGGCCTTGAAGTGAAATTTACAGTTCTCAAAGTTAAAGTTAAAATCTAAGGGATTATGCATACACATACGTGGAGAAAAGCAGCCAGGAAACTCTTTGGTTTTCCCAATCTTGTCTAAGCTTCGATTCTCACTAAGCCTTTTTCATTTGTTTTAAATTTATTGCCAACTTAAGGTGAGCCAACTTTTCTGCTTTCTAAGCATAAAGTAAAATGTAGTTCTTCTAGTTCTTCATTGGCTTAAAATACATTCAAACAAAATAGCTTACTTTTCTAGAAAATAAATGGGAAATAAACAAAAAGCTTAAAATAAATTCAAAGTGATTTTAAACCTCTTAAAAATCTAACATAGATTCATTTAATTTTTTATAGCTTGGTCAGTAATATTTGATTCCATTTTTGCTTGTCATCAAAGTTTTCCCCTAACCCATTTCCCATTTAATACTTTAGTTATACCTATTCCATACCTAAAGTACAATGCAAATTTAATGTCAAAAGTTAATATTAGATTCCAGATATATAAGCCTTAAGGCAACCGCAAAATGAGGCTTACCCCAAAATGTCCTCAATTGCAGGCATTTCGTTGACTCAAGTTAGGCTGGTAAAATTAATTATACACATGTATTTGGTTAAGTTCGTTTAACCTGACGGAAACGTTATTTGAGCCTAGTCTTGTTTAAGCCAAAAGCCTGAATGGCCCAAGATCGGGCCTTATCTGGCTGTTCCAAATCTGAGGCCAGGACAGGTAAATAAAGGTAAATAAACTTAAACGCTTTTGACTCTTCTTTAGCCAAGAACTTAAGGGTGGAGGGGAAGAAATGAATGCATTTGTACATTTCTCTCTCTCTGTGTATGTGTGTGTGTGTGTGCTTTACTTATGCAAATGCAAATCCAGACACAGGACACTGTTCACTTTACCCACACACCAGCATGTACACACACACACACTCGAGCATTTTGTTGCAGCATTTTAATTAAACAAGTTTCCGTTTCCGCCGTTTTTGTTGCCATAGTTGTTCTAATACCACGTGAAGCACACACACACCACCTCGTCTTTTGCATATTTCCCGTTGGTTTATGACTCTTTATCCATCGCCAACCCCCAGGAATATTTTATTTTATTAATATAGCAACCTTTGTGTTGTGTGTGTGTGGTTTTTGAATTTTTTATATGATATTCATTTAGAAAATTACAAGAGTGCGTGATATTAAGACCTTTTACTATTCAGATAAAGTTAGGTCAGTTTAAAAGTAATTAATATAGTCAATTATGGGTCATTATTTATTAAAAACAATTAAAATCACTTATTGTTTATTATTTGGGAGAATAAACACTTATGATACCTCAATTTAATCAATAATCATTAAATAATAAATAAAGAATGTACTAAAATATGAAAAAAACTTAGAATAAAGTATTTAAAAAAATCCACACTGCGTATGCCTTTCATCAGACATATTACTCATTCGCAGTGTTAAATTTTTGTTTGATAATTTTAAAATTAAAAAATAAATAAAGTATGTAGGAATACTACAAAAACACACAAAACACTACAGAAAATTCTCTAAACAAAATCAGTATAAGTAAAGAACCCATACTGCGTATGAGTAATCTGCCTACCTTCAGACATATCACTTATACGAAGTGTTGGATTTGTTTTGATAATTTTAAAATTAAAAAATAAAAAAAGTATGTCAGAATATTAGAAAAGCCAGGAAATTATCTAAACAAAATGAGTATAAGTAAAGAACCCACACTGCGTATGAGTAATGTGCTTTTCATCAGAAAAAACACTTATACGCAATGTTGATTTGATTTGATAATTTTAACATTAAAAAATAAATAAAGTAAGTCAGAATACTACAAAACCCTGGGGAAATCTCTAAACAAAATGAGTTTCAGTAAAAAATCCACACTGCGTATGAGTAATGTGCCTTTCATCGAACATATTACTCATACGCAGTGTTGGATTTGTTTAGGACAAAAAAAAAACCAACCGGATTGTTTATATATTTTATTAAATAGTAATAAAATATACACTCTGAGGCTGAATAAATATTGTATATCCATTTACTTCACCTTAATCTCTCCTCTGAGTACAGTCGGTTACACCCTTTAACTGCCAGCTTCCGGATTATCCATTTTCTCCGGAATCTGCACGTTGTTTAACCTACTGTCAATTACATTTAACGTTCGGATTGGGACAGAGAAATCGCGACTGCTTTCCAATTAAGAGTAACGCATTGCGGGTAAGTAAAGGAAAAGGGAAAATAAAGTAAAAAATATTCCCTGTTACAGCTGGGCTTCTGAGCCGGTCAACAATGCACTCAGAAAAAAGAAAAAATTTAATGCATTATAAGCTGTTAATTAAATGAAATATCTCAAAATATATTGAAAAATATTATAAGGCTTTTTTTTCTCAGATTTAAAAGAAGATTTGGGGATATTCCAAGAGGATTAAAGTTGTCTATTTATTTCTATACGTCATTTATATTGGAACATTTTTTGATGAGCAACATTACCTGAAACAAATACCTTTCATTTTATAAAAATATTCCAAAGATAAACCTTTTTCATTGACTGAAAGTTGCTGAGAAATTTTCTGAAATCAAAGGCGATTATTTTAAATCTTTGTTTTTCTAGGTGTGAAGGAAAAGCCCCAGCTCCGCCTTCCACATGTCGTTGCCATCGCTGGGGACACTCCACTCCACACGGGAAAGCGGGATGGAAAAACCACCCCGCCACCGCTTATGCAAATGGATTTGCAGCCAAGAGCGAAGGTCACTGCGTCCTTTGCGGTTGTTAAATGCACGCCTGGATGGTATCTTACGGCGTGGCGGAGCAGCAGCTCCTCCTGGTCTTGGTCCACTGGCCCGCCTCCAGAAACTCATTAACGGCAGTGTTGCCTTTTAAGTCAGAGCACCCCGATGCCCCGATGCCGAAAGTCGCAATAATTAAGTGAAGACGTTTGCGACAGCGACACGTGGAGGAAATACCTTCTTTTCTGCTTTTTTTTTTTCTTTGCTACTCCGAAGGACCTCTGATGCTGACTTAATCCGCTGAGCGACTGCAGACCACCTTTTTCTCGGACAGAGTATCCTGTGTTCGCTGTGCCCACTGCCGGTTTAGCTTCCACCTGCTTTTTTTCTGCACGATTTTCTTTTTTCGCATTTAAGAATTTTATGGCATTACTTCCCAGCGCTAGTTTCAATTTCCTTGCCAGTAAAAGGAGCCCGAAAATACAGTGGAGTGTTGCGAGGGATAAGCAAATAGCTACAATAATAAAAGTAAATTAAGAAAATCTTGTTTGAAAATGTTTTAAAACCAAAACTATCCTGACATCTCTAGGTGTTTCAGGTTCAAGTCCTTTAAATTACCATTTTTTGTGTGCTAAATTTGCTCTTTTAATCCACTGTGAAGTGGAAGGGAAAGCCGCTTAAGCGCAACTCGAGACTTTTTAATAATTTACGTCGACTGAGGCGCGAATCAAAGAACATTTGGAGTGCCCTCTTTGTAGCCGAGAGGCAGGTGTACAAATAGAAATAGAAATAAAAATAAGCATTAGCCGCCGGCAGAGTATTTCCCATTAAAGTTTATGTAAATCCCTCAAACGTTCAGAAGGCAAAGAAAAAGAAAGTAGATATAAAACTCGATTAGATAAGGGTTTTGTTTATACTTTTTGATAAAGAAATATAATCAAAGATTAAATTGATCTTAAATATCATATGTTGAAGTTATTTTTTGTTAGCTCTTGTTCTATTTATTATTATCTTCTTGTTCTATTTATTATTATCTTCAAGTTGAACAACTTTTACTAAGCCGTTGCCTGCTCTTTAATGATCTTGTTGCTTCCCTTTTGATTCCAATTGTAATCATTAAGTCCCAGATAACCATCCATGGACCACTTGCCACCACCCAGCTCAGAAAGCATCACGAATGCTCCGATTTTGCCAAAGAACACGGCAAAGTAATTTAGGGAAAGAAAATAATCATGCCAGCCCCACAACAAGCTCCAGTGATTGCTAAAGATATCGTGATACATCAAGGCCACAATGGTCAGGTAAGAAACAACTTTGCAGTATAAACCCATGGCAATTAAAATACACAAAAGCACCGAAATGAAATTAAAGAACTCCTTAAAATAATAGAAAACAAGAAATATATAAAATAGAATAGAATAGAAAATATAAAACTCTACTTACATTTACATCCTCATCCAGCCAAATTAGAAACATGCAACAAAGGAAAATCCTAGCCACCAGCAACAGGATATGAAAGCTACTAACCTCCATTTTGGGGCATCCCATCTGGGCCCGCATCTTGGCCTTGGTGGCCAGCAGCAAGAGGAGACAGCCCATGTCCTGGCACTCACCAACGAGGTAATACATGAACATGCTCCAAATGGACAGGAGCAGGCGATGGATCACTCTGCCAATGAGTATCAGAGTAACGCCACTCTCCTCGATCCGGGTGCCGAGGGTGAGTACAAGGGACACCAGGATGAGGCTCATGTCGAACATGGTGTAGATGTGACCAAACACACCGGTCACGTCCATTATCACAGCTCGTTCTTTGGACAAATGGAAAAAATGAACAAACGAGTAGAGGAGATCCATGAAGTAATTCGACATCACGAAATATGGCATCAGCGACAGGATCCAACGTGGCCTGTTCCAGCGACTCAAAGAAAACATTTTTCGATTGTTTATGAAATTCAAACTCAAATATAAACTATGCGCTGCTTGATGAAACTAATGTTTTTTGCAAAGCTAACTTGGTTCTTTCTTTTTATGATTTTAAATCAAAACTTACCCAGCATTTTCAACAGATTTTAGTGAATAGTTAAAGAGGTAAACCCCTTTCCAGTCCCGAGGGTATTGTAATGTGCATAATTGTTGCAACTTGGGCCTGCAGGGAGTTCTGGTAATGTGATGAGCCCCGGCCTATGAATCAATCCCCCAACTAATTGTCTCTAATTGTTGCAGCCGCAGGTGGCACATTAGCTAATTACCTTGGAGCAGGCCTTGGGTCAGTTCTCCTTGTTTGCTGACAAAGGATGCAGCTCAAGGCATCTCTGGGTATCGGATCTGGTAACTTGGACCTGCCGGCCATAATTTATCTAATCATATATATCATATTCTATAGATTTACCCTCCTAAAACCTCAAGGAAATTACAGCACAAAGGACTTTATTCAAGTCATAATCTGACTGCGTCAAAGCGGCAATTTATGAAGTGTTTAAATTTACTCAGTACCCTGATAGACACCTCAACTTGGGGTCCGGCAAGTGACTGGAATCCATTTTGATGGCAATGACTGTCAACAACTTTTGACGTTTTGCAATTTATCTGCTTACACAGCAGAAATTAATGCCACAAGTGGAAAACATAGTAGCTGGAAAGGCTCAAGGTAATGGGGAGGTGGAAAACAAAGTTCAGATAAAAGAAGAAAATGAAAAAAGAAAGAACACTTCTTGTTGTTGACATCTTGGCGTTCTTGTATCCTCAGAAATTACCGGAAGTCCTTGGCAAAGACATGAACCTGGCCCAATGGCATGGAAACGGACCAAAACTAAACTCACTATAATTCGTTGTGGACAATGGTAGTCTCTCTCAAATAAACAGAAAAACAAGAAAGAAAAACAAAGTAAGCCTTTGTTGCCTGTAAACAAGAATATAACCCTTAAATTTGACCCAGAAATATTCATTATTTCCAATCTATCGACCAACCATGGTGAAAGTGAGTATCCCGAGGTCCTAATTATATATTGTTCTGTTGAGATGGCAGTGAAAATAATGACAACGGCATTGGCCTTGCCACAGGACTTGGATTTGCTTCAATTTTGTTACCACTACTGAAAGCCTTCGGAATAAATGAGCCGTAGGAAAAGTTGGTAACCAGCCCATCACAAGTTCCCTTGCCTCCGGAAAAGTTTATTAATTGAGCCTATTAGTTGTCCTCTTCTTTATGTTTCTGGGAACTACGTGACGAACATTTTCCAAGGCAATTTTAAACTAAACGAGAGAAGCATCTAGATTTTATGGCAAATATTATTCCTTTCACTAACGATGACAAAATGTAATTTAATAAAAAAGGAAGAAAGCTAATTTCGAGATGGAGAAGTGTGTATACCCTTGCAGATACTCGATCATAACTAAGATAAGATGTATTATTCACAATTTGGAAAGAATTTCTATGTATGACTTTTGTCATTCATTTGTTTTTTGACTAAATTTTTAAATCCAAATTTTTGGGTAAAATTAAATACCATAATTAAGCTAAAAATGCTTTAATGTTGATTCGGATAGTTTTTCTTTGCTAGTTTTTATAGCCTTAAAAAACCTGTATACTGAGTTTTTAAATATAAAAAATTCAAATTTTTGTCAATTTGTAAAAATTTTAACGATGTCTTAACCTTATAAAATTTTTTGAAAAAATTTTGAAAAATATGAATTTTTATCGGACATGGCTAGATCGACTCGATTTTTGATACTAATCAAGAATATATATGATTTATAGGGTCGAAAACAATTCCTTTACTACTTAGACCTAGCATGCATCGGACTAAAATCATAAATCGATTTTACTTTATATTTTAGATGGGCTGTTAGCTTTTAGTATACGTTTGTATATATCGTTAATAAAAAATTGCTGTATCACTATTAATTAAGTAATAGATTCCATGCCATTGGAAAACAAATGCATAACTATCCTCAGCTAATTCCAGACTGATCAGTCGCATCTTTATATATAATATAATTGTCATAGTAAAGACTTACCGGAGTTGGGGACACACTGTTATCTCTTTTTATCACTGCGTCATTCCTTCCAGTGTGATGATGTGTGTGTGCGTGATTGATGACTTCATTTAGACTTCGATTGGTAGCATCAATGTAAACATCCTCCTGATTATCCACATGTGTTGCTTGGGCCACGTCATATTTATGGGATCGAACCACTATCACTGCCACTATCACTTTCGATGTTAACACTGGGCACTTCGTAAACAGACTGAGGCGGGAGCGGCGGGTCTGGCCTGTATTTATAGTCCGCGAGTAAAGAGAAACATAGAGTGTTAGAGCACGAGAGCAAGAGAGCTAGAGCTAGCGCTAGCGCTACAGCTGCAGCTAGCGCTAGAGTTAGAGAGTGTGAGAGCAAGAGAGCAAAGAGAGCTAGAGCTAGAGCTAGAGCTGGAGCTAAAGCTAGAGCTAGAGCAAGAGAGTGTGAGTGCAAGAGAGCAAAGAGAGCTAGAGCTAGAGCTGGAGCTAAAGTTAGAGCTAGAGCAAGAGAGTGTGAGAGCAAGAGAGCAAAGAGAGCTAGAGCTAGAGCTAGAGCTAGAGCTAGAGCAAGAGCTAGAGCAAGAGCTTGAGCTAGGTGAAGAGTAATAAAGAGAATAACATCTATTTAGATAAACAAAGAGTGATGGACACAGATTTAATGATCGTTTCGATGGCAGCTATATAATATCGTACTGTTCGATTTTAATAAAATTAATACCGTAATTATAAAATAATACTAAATGGATATATCTAAAATAATATTAAATATGTTGAAAACTAGAAAAGTTATCATATGTTTTCTGAACATTTTATAATCGTTCCGACTGCAGCTATATGATATAGTCGTTCGATCCGACGCGCTCTGCTGTTAACGCTGATCAAGAATTTATATACTTTATATGGCCGGAAATGACTGCGTTGCAAACTTCTGACTGAAATTATAATTCCCTGCAAAGGTATAATTAATGAGTTTTATTGCCCATAAAGATTTCGAGTTTTTGTAGAACATTTAATGGCACCCTAAATTATTAATTTTGTAAGGAAATAAGTATATTTTAAGTAAAGCAAAGTAACGTTTATGATAAATATTGATTTCTTTAAAATTTACACATGTTTAAGCTATATTTCCAACATTCAAGCATCCTCAAACCCTTAAAAACCAAACCTGCCATTTCAATATGGAAAATAAGACTTCTCTAAAAGAGCATACCAAATGGTGGTTTCTGTGGTGTTTGCCAAAACATTTTGCTGGGCAATCAAATCAGAAACAGGACCTTGGGGCGTGAGCAAGCTGAAGGATAAATTGGGCAGAGACAGAGAAGAAAAAAAGGAAGGGAAGAAAAGGAAGCCGAGCGGAGGACACAGTTCGTTGATTTTGTTACAAATAATCTAAATCTATGTCAACATTTGGTACGCAACGCGATAATAATTCATTTTTGCCTTGCTCCGCAGCTTCGTGACAGCTAATCACAACGGGACAGACAGACAAAACAGCAGGACAGACAGTCACAAGGACGACTATAAAACGGACATTTTGTATCAGTTTGAAAAATGGCGTCATGGCTGCCCGATTTCCGATTTCCGGCGGCAAATGAATTTTTTCCTTTTGCCGCTGTGTGTATGCTGTGCGCTAATTTAACAGCTCTTTTTCATTCGGTTAAATTAAAAACAAAATAAAAATGAAAATAGCAAACAACTTGGCCAAAAATGAGGCTGTTGTCGTGTCGAGCATAAATTTAATATAATTTGCCATCATGATTATGGCTGTGTGCACATGCGCGACGCCATCAATGGCAATTGTTTATTTTATATTCCGATAAAATCATTTTAATTTCATTAGTTTCCGCCTTCATTGTGGGTATATACATATATATTTTTGATTCCTGGTGTGAGCTCAACGAGCTATTTGCATACAATTTAAAAAATGCTTTTATTGTCCTGTCTCTTTATCTGTGACAAATGACAGACATTCGAGATTATCATTATTGTTTTCATTGTCCCAGGATATTGTTATGAATTCAATTAATAATGAACATTTTGGTGTATTTTATGAATTGATGCTCGAGTGTTTTTTGTTTAATGAAAAATACAAAGAATAATAGGAAAAGTGTACATGTAAATACACTTGATTAACCTTGTTAAGCATAATGTTAATTAACCATATTAATGGTAATTTTTATCTAGTAAATTTTACTACATTTTAATTAAAAAAGGAAAAGCTTGGCATATTTTTTAATTTCAAATTTCTTTTCTTTTCTTGTTTATTTTTGCTAATATCACCTGCAACTATGGTTAAAAATCATCATCACCTTTCCATTTACCTAAGCTCATCGCCCTTTCTATCTTCAACTTTTTTTACATGTCAACAACAAGGACAATGAACGATTTTAGCTTCCTTTTTCCGTGGTTATCTTAACACCCTTGGGGCCTGTCCATATCGCAAACAATGCAAACGAAAAGCGAAGAAAAAACAAGAAAATCAAGTATACTCTTAAGGGATTTCCTATATAGAAAAGGAGTATGCTCGGAGAGTTTTAATGAATGGATATATAGTGGCGCCGTAGGTGAATAATCTGACACTGACTGGCACACATTTTTTCTGATGCTGCTTCTGTTTGCCATCGCAATTTGCATTGCGGCTTTTTGTTTCAAGACAATAGTAAAAATGTCCTGCTTTTTAGTTCTCTTTCGATTCCTGTCAGCATTCCAGAGTCTGACACAGACGCGACGGCAACTGACAGCTCTCAGCTGGATAGATATCCGGAGAAAAGGCTTCCATAAAATAAGGTAAATTGGATTACCGGTCATTGAGCATTATCTTCAAATTTTTGAAATGTGACATTTTACGGATTTAAATGTGACACAAATATATTAATTGTCTCTATTAGTTAAAAAATTCCTAGGTTGCTCACTTAAGTATTTACTTGATAAAATCACAAGTAATTTAAAGCCACAAAAATGATGACTGATATCTGTGAAACATTTCCTTTTTTCCCTCATTTTTTGTGTTGTCAATTTGTTCGCGAAACCTGGGCAGATGTCAAAAAGGATAATGAGCCTGGATTTGTGAATGAGGAAAAGCCAAAAGGAGCTTGCGTTTGCCAGTGTGGAAAATCAGCTTAAGGCGTGCATGATATTTGAATACATATACATAATTTGCCCGCTTTTTCCTTTTTTTGGGGGAGAAAGTAAAATGCCTTTAAAACGGAAAGTCAGCAGCGATTGACAGTATGACTAGGAAGTAGAAAAGCCTCTGGGATTTCCACCATAATTTTGAAAAGCTGTAGAGAAATGTGTGAGTCTTAAATTGAGCTTTGAAATGTCCTTAGAAAAGGCAAATTTCAAAATCAAGTTGATTATTTTTAAAGGGCTTTCTTTTATTATTTCACTTATTATCAATTTTAAAAGTTTTCAACGAACATTTTAAATATTCACATAATTTTCAATCATTTCCAAACCTCGGTCGTTAACCTTGGCAAAATCAATTAAATGCACCATTTTTGAAATGTCGTGAGTGTTATGAATATTCACGAACCGTGCGCGACGCGTTTAATAATTGAATAGTTTGAATATAAATACCTCCCAGTCGCATTGTCCTCCGGTAGCAGAGGTCCTGCGGTTGTCCCTGGGCATGGCCACAAAGTATTCAGCCGGAAAGAGTTTGCCAATGAGAGGTGTAAATATATATATATATATTTGTACATGTCCAACTATATAGTACACCTGAACCATGGTTCACGTCCACGTCGAAATTAACAAATGAATTATTTAGTGGCGACACTTGTGTGGACAATGTTTGGATTAGAGCAACGTGAATTAGGTGCGAATGGCCAGGCGGGGATTTCCCTAAATGGGAAACTGTGTAATTTGCCTAAAAGCGTTGGCCCTTGAAAATACAAGGCGCCACAGGCTTTAATATAATGAAGCTCTCTTTATATTTGTTTGCCATGCTTGAATTTGTTATAGAAAATTTCTCTTACTTTTTTTAATGACTATAAATAATTCTTCATCAAGTCCACCCTTTTTATACGCCATAATTGATGGCCATTAAGGCTAGACCGGAACTTCCGGCATTTGATGGACACGAGGGCTTCAAAATTTGAAGCCTTTTTAAACACAACAAAGCTGCTAGAAAATAGGTATAGTATAGACTTTATTTGTATTCATGTTTATAAAACATTAAATTTGGATTACTGAAAATCATTACTAATAGCTATTAATTTTTACCAATCAATTACATTTTTGCTAAGGCTTTCAGTCATATTTTTTAAACTATCTTTGGGCAGTGCGGTGCCAAATAAAAAACAGGTCGAGGTGGTAATCATCACCATCATGAATAGAGTCGGAATTATGCCAGCGAACAACTAAAAATGAGAATTCATACAGTGATCAAAAGTAAATAATATATTAAATATTATATCTTACAAAAAGAAAGGGCCTGACATTGCCTAAGCCAGAGACGATGGTGTTGGCCGGTGCACTGATTGGCAGCATAAATTGATTGTGAAGTGCGGTGGCAAAGGGCAGGGCAAAGTTGTTACCCTGAAGGGAAAATATGGGAAAATTTAATATTTAAATTAAATAAAAAATAGTTTAATTACTCACTGCAGTTCTCATTATGGGAAGCGCCAGCCTAGCCACAGCAGCTGCCGGAGAAAGGATCGTGAACAGGGTTCCATAGCACGCACCACACAAGAACTGAAGGAAGTCACCGCGTGGCTCTGACATGGCCTTGGCAATGGCCTTGTATAAACCACTCTCCTTGGCACAAAATACACAACAGAATGCTGCGCCCAGCATTATTATCTCACCCCAGGGGGTACGCTTATTTACGGCCTTCCAGCCCAGGAGCGAAGGAGCCGTACCCGGCTTGTCCGGCCTTCGGCAGGCATAATACCGGCAGAATAGAAAGTTCGCCGGGATCGCAGCAAAAAGGATGACTACGCCCAGGGACTGGACCGAGTAGCCGGATAAGATCGTTGGCGATATATCATCCCAGCCGGGGTAGATACGCGGCTTTCGGGTATGCATTATAATGAAAATAATCAAGATCAAGATAAAAGATAATATGGCATTGACTTTCCAGGGTCCCAGGTCCTGTTTCCTGGCCTCAATCGATTCCTGGAAACCTGTCGCATTGTTGGACAATTCCTTCAATTCACGCTTAATGGGACCACCGAGCAGGCCAAGGAATATGATTTGGATCCAAAGGATCATGACACAGAGACCCATAACGATTGGTACTATCATTATCAATATGATGTGCTCAAACTTCAGCTGCCTGGGGAGGCATGAAAAGCATAAGTTGCTAAAGTGAATTGTTTATAATTACCCAACGAAAGCATCAATAATATTACTATTGGGATTCACAATGGGGGACACAGCTCCAGCCAATGTGGCGGTATAGCAGAGGGTTAAGTAGATTCCGACCACGGGTAGCGTTGGATAAGGGGCACTATAATATATTATATATTTGAGATATTTAAGTAAAAATATTCTGGTCTACAACTAACCCCCCTGGCTCGTAGAGCTTCTCCTCAGAGTTCATCTTCAAAACGCCGGCCTAGAACGTGTTCAAATTAAGGATATTATATATTTTATTACCTATCTATATTACTTACATTATCATATTCCGTCAAGACGGCTTTGGCCACTGTGATCCAAAAGGCAACAGCTGCCGTGGGATTAGCCAAAAAGGCAATGACAAATACTCCAATGGCTAGAAATAGCTGAAGCCTGCGTAATAACTCATCGATTTAGATGTCATTTAATCTCTTCTCTTCTCGAGATCTTACATTGTTATGTTGCTGCCAACGCATCGGATGACGATGAAGGCCAGATGCTCGTGGAGCCTCGAGGATTGCATCGTGATGGCCAGGAAGCAGCAGCCATAAACCAAGAAGAGTATATCCGTATAGTAGGCGGTGCATACTTTTGGCGAATCCGCAATGCCAGCTATGGGTGCAAATACTACGTAGGCAAGGGCAACGGCGCCTGTGGACATTATATCAAAGATATAATATAAATACAAACATGTTGTTATGTACACAAAGCGCAAAGCCTGCGGAAACACTGGTACTATAATGGAAAATATAGATATGATATGGATATTACCATTACAGGTTTTCCTAGTAAAATGGGACCGCATACTATAGGTATGAGAATACTGAGGACACCTTTGTAATGGAATTTACAGAACAATCGGCGATCGTCGGTCTGCTCCAATGGTATGTCGCCGGGCTTGTAAGATGAAGCACTTGCGGCAAGGATATCTTTGCTTAAGGAACTTTTACAACAACAATTTATATTAGTTTACTTACCGTTCCATTACTCATATGCATTTAAGCTCTTTGTTGTGTTAATTTTTATTGAATTTAAATGATTAACTTGTGAACGACTGCTTAGTTTTGATTATTAACTAATAATTTTTTAGTGTTCAATCAGGAGTTAGAATTTGGAATTTATACCTTTAGATACCACCTCATCAAAGCAAAGCATTGTGGAGGCGGCAGTTAAGAGCATAAAGAAAATCGCTGGTACTATGCCAGCTAACAACTATAAACATTCATATGCTTAAACAATTGAAATGATAATTTATAATTACTTACAAACTGAAAGGGTCTGATATTCCCCCAACCGGCAACGATCATATTTGCCGGCGAACTGATGGGCAGCAGAAACTGATTGTGCAGGGCCGTCATAAAGGGCAGGGCAAAGCTATAACCCTGGAAGGAAATTGAAATTATTTCATGAAATTAAATTATTTAAATAAAACCAAATACCCACAGCCCTTTTCATCACAGGAACAGCCATCTTGGCCAGCGTTGTGGAAGGAGACAGGGCCGAGAGCAGAGTCCCCATGCCGGCGCCACACATAAACCTACTGAGATCAAATCGCTTGGATCCCCACATGCTTTCTGCCACTTTTGCATAGAAACCACTCTTTAGGCCACAGAAGACACAGCAAAAGGCTGCACCCAGCATAAAGATATCCTCCCAGGGAACATTGTTATTCAATGTCTTCCAACTGAGCAAAGATGGAGTTGTGCCCGGCTTATCGGGTTCCCGGCAGACATAGTACCGACAGAATAGATAGTTTGCCGGTATCGCAAAGAGTAATAATCCTATGAAAATGGCTGGAATGGAGAGACCGGTTTCAACTCCATTCCCTACATTCTCCCAGGCCACGTACAGGTGAGGCCTTCGGGTGTGCAAAAGGACGAATAATATGAGTATCAGGATGAAGACAAGTATGGCATATGCATTCCAATGGCCCATATCCATTCTTTTCTCTTCGACAGTCAGCCGGAAATCTTCCTTGTTTTCAGCCATTTCCGCAAGGTCACGCTTGACACTGCCACCGAATAGACCCATGAACAAGATTTGGAGCCAAAGGATCACAATGCAGATACCCAAAAAAGCTGGCAATGCCATGATCATTATTATATGCTCCATTTTGATACTGAACAGGGGATAGATTTTATGACTATAATACATAACATTTATATTCCATAGTTACCTATATTTTATTAGTATGCCATTGGGATTTACAAAGGGAGACACACTGGCGGCCAAAGAGGCGGTATAGCAACAGGTTAGGAAAATACCAATTACAGGACGCGTTGGATATGCTCTTCTATTTGACAGACATTAGTTATATGTCCTTGACTCCTGTCTTAATACTTACGCTCCCTGTTCGTAGGGTTCTTCATCGGAATCCCTTTTGATTACGTTAGCCTAGGAAGTAAACTATATAGCTAGATCGCCTCTGTAAAAATGCGTATGGCTCTGAACCCAGTTTAAAAAGCCAGAGCCTTGTACTCACATCATTATATTCGTTGACAACGGCCTGGGCCAGCTTCATTCCAAAGGCAGCACCTACTGTGGGATTCACAAGAATGGCAATTGTAGAAACCACCACGGCCAGAAGAACTTGAAGCCTGTCCGATAGATTCCATAGATTAAATGATGAAATAAAGTCTTCGATTTAAGGACTTACCAGAAAAAACTACTTCCAACTATTCTGATGACAGCAAAGCCCAGATGTTGGCTAAGTTTTGACGAGTCCATCACTGCACCCATCATGATAGTGCCATAGACCAGAAACATTAAGTCGGGATAATGTGAGAAACTTACAGGACCCGATCCTGCAATGCCTGCTATGGGTATAAAAGTTATATAGATAAAGGCCACCGCACCACTGGCCATCACATTGAGTATATAATACAGATATAAGCATATTGTTAAGTAGAGAAAGCGATATATCTGTAGGTGGTTTTATTTTATACATTTTATATAGAGAAATGTGCAGAGTGTGACTTACCAAAACAGGTTTTCCTGCCAAAAGGCCTCCAAAGGCTATAGGTATTAACAAAATGAGAACACCTTTGTAGTGGAATTTACAGCATAATTTTCTATCATCAGTCTCCGCCAAAGGAATGTCTCCTGGCTTATACTCTGCCATTTTATTATTCACTTTGAGTGGCTTTCACTCGTATTTCTAATAATTTTAATTAATTGACTGACTGAACTGGCAGTAAATGCTATGACTTTTAAAACTAAGGTTTAAAAATTCTTAAATATTCACTGCTAAGACTTATTTCTTTGCTTTCACTCACCTTGAATTACCAAGTGAAACTAAATTTTAAATGATTTTCTTATACAGCAAGTTGACTGTATATTTTAAATTTAAATTTAAATAGTAAGACATTTCCCATTTTCCCTCTAAAAAGAAAACTAATCGCTAGAATATTTATTGGTAAAGTTCTGTTCTTAATAGCCAAGTCAAGTTACGTGGTAGGTCAAGAATTTTGTTCACTGACTGAAAACTGCAGCGAGTCCGGGAATTTGGCCAATAAAAACTTTCACCAATCCTGCGGTGCAGGATGTGCAGGCAGGACGACTGGCACAGGATACGCATTGCATTGTTGGGATGGGGGGAGGGCGGAATCCTGATGATTGTGGCAATGTCAGCGGCAGCTGCAACTTTGTGGCAGCACGTGGCGCGTAACAACGCGCAGTCGTCGGCAATTTTGCGTAACTATTCGCCGTTCAGCATCGTTAGTGCCCTGGCCAGGACTCACACAAAGTCCTTGCACAAAGTTTGCCAGGACACAGGTAGAGTTGAATCAATACCAAGAATCTAAGCCAGTCCCTACAATTAAACGAAATACATGAATGTGGAACTCGGTACGATATATTTTAATTAGGCTTGGCTAATAATTACTAAAGGATAACAAGTATACTATAGTTTTTGATGCCTGTCACTGAGTTTTACCTGTTACAGAGTTCACACCTTAACATCTCCTGTCAATATTCAATGTTTTGACCTTTTAGTGACGATGGCAACACACACACACACATACTAAAACTTGGGTGAGCGGAAGTTGATTGACTTCTTCATGTGAAAATTTCTCCCATACGGAAGGTTGATAAACAAAAATGGCCGCCGCTCCTCCTTTCAGCCTTATCCGTCGGCCATTGTTGTTCTTTGCCCGAGGCACTCCTGACAAGCCAACATGACGACGGGCCATTCCTTGATTAGGGTTAGCCTGTGACCATATGATGGATGCTTCACTTTTATGGCAGACAAAGAACAACAACAACAAACGACAGTACCCGAAAATCAACTCAAGAAATCCCGGACAGCCTGTAGTTTGTCAGCACACCAATCGCGGGCCATTGTGTTCTTTATTCATTCGTTGTTTGGCTTAAACTTTTGTCCTTAAAGGTTTCACACCAACTTGCGGCACCTGCCTCTGAGGAGTCCCCATCCCGGCGAGCATTTCGGCCAGCTCGCGAGCAGCATGTCACCCATCTTCAGCTTTGGGTCGTGCCTCAGATAGTAGCCACATTTGGTGTTCTCTAGCGAAGTATCCGGTCTCTCCAGCCGCTGGGCCCGGCAATAGGCAAACTTGTCGGATTTCTCCCGCAGCCCCAGCAGATCCACTTCGATTTGAATGGCCAACTCGGAGGTAACCATATCCGGATGCACCAGGGTTAGCGACAGGAATATGACAACAGCCAACAGTCCAAGGGAAAATCTCGATGGGAATGCGTTCATGGCGGCGTCAGAAATGCAACTAAATGGGTAACTTTGGTCATTTTCAATTGTTACAGCTGGTAAATAATTACTGCTTAATGTATTGTGACTAAAAAAATGTCACTTAAAAAGCATTCAAGTTGTTTTATAGTTTTGTTTGTTATCAATTGATTTGAAAGACTGTTTTAAGGAAGTTTACTAGATGTTTACCTTAAGTTTAAATTGATTTAAAACTGGGAAGACAATTGATTTAAGGGTGCCGAAGTTTAGATACCTTAGCAATTATCCATTTAATAATATATTAATTTTTAAAATTTTTGTATGAAAATCAAAATTTAAAAATCTTATAACTAAGCCAAAAAGGCATTAATTTTCATTCGGAAAACTTTCCCATGTTAGTTTTTAAAAAGTTTACAAATCTGCATACTCAATATAAAATTTAAAAAAATTCAAATTTGTTCAATTTTTTTTAATTTTTACACCTTCTAAAATATTAAAAATTTTGAAAAAATTTAATTTTGCTCGGACATGGCTAGATCGATTCAGTTTTTAATGCTGCTCAAGAATATATATGATTTATAGGGTCGGAAATGACTCCTTCCCATCATTACAAGCTTCTAACTAAAATAATAATACCATTGAAAGGGTCTAAAAAAGTAAACAAAACTTAAGTCTAAAGAAAAACATGTATTTAGTATTTACATATAATTTTTTAATAAGTGCAACATAAAGTTAAAAAAATATATTTCCTGAAGGCTTTAAAAAAATATAAATAATTAAAATTGTAGCAATGTAGGTGACACTTTTATTTATATCGAAACCAAAAGCATTTTAATTTATAAACTATTTCTGCAGTAATGCAAAACAAAGGCTGTAAATAATTTAATTATTATTCGCAATGTAATTTATTCAATTTACATCGACAGCTCTGACAGCCCTTTTTTGTACGTATTATCTCTACAAATAATTGCAATCATTTCACTTTTTCAAGAACAATTTAATCTTTTTTTTTGTTCTCGATTCACTCTCTCAAAAAAGGGGAATCGCCTTTAATAATAAAATCGCCGATTCCCCCGTTTCTGCGCTTTAATTTCGCAGAAAAAAATGCTCTCGTTTGTTTTTAGACCTTTTCAATTGCTTGTTAGCCGGCATTTTTTCTTTGTTCGCCCCTTTCATTATCGCCATCTCTCTATTTTATTTCACGTTTATTTTTTGTTCTCGGCCAACGTCATTCTTTTGGTGGAAATTGCATTCAGAAAATGAATGGACGCCCGGCGCACTCCGCTGCCTTGTGCCTCTGCCATCGACCTCGAATGATGCATGCAATCGAGTGTAAATTTCTCTGTGTTTTATTATTTAATAACGTCGACTTTCGTTGCTATCTATATGCCGGTTGCTGTGCATTCGAGGCTGTCATATTTACGCGTCCATTTCCCCGCCCCTTTTTTTATTTCCGGTTCCGTTCCTGTCACAAGCTATATAAACAAATTGGCTGTGTGTAAAATGCAAGTGTAAATTGGACGACTGATATAATGGCACCTTATCCCCGGTAAAATGGCAATAAGCGAAACGAAATCGCGGCATTAAAAAGCAAAAAAAAAATTGTAGTAAAAATCTTTTAAAGAGGAATATTTACATATTCTCTTGCAGGGTATTATAATATTCATCAAAAGCTGGTAAAGCAGTGAAGAAGTCATTTCCGACCCTATAAATCATATATATTCTTGATCAGCACTAAAAGGTGAATCAATCTAGCTATGTCAGAAAAAAAATTAATTTTTTCAAAATGTTCAAAATTTTACATTGGTAAAAATTGTAAAAATTTGTGAAAAAACTGAATTTTCCAAATTTTTAAAGTCTTTATGCAGATTTATTAACTTTTAAAAGACTGGCATAGAACTGATATCCGAAATGAAATTAGAAAATTTTTGGCTAAGTTATGAAATTTGAAAATCTATGATTTTTTACAAAAAATGATCATACAAAAATATAGATTTTTATCTAGTTCCCATAAGTGACATATTTTAGGGTTTCTTGGTGATAATTCGTGAAAGAGTCATTTCCGATCCTATAAATCATATATATTCTTGATCAGCATTGAAAACTGAATCGATTTAGCCATGTCCGAGCAAAATTTAATTTTTTCAAAATTTTGAACATTTTTAAAGGAAAAATTTACATCGATAAAATTGTAAAAAAATTGAATTAAAAAAATTTTAAAAGTCTGTATGCAGATTTATTAACCTAGTAAAAACTAACATAGTAAAGCTTTTCGAATTAAAATTAATGCTTTTTTGGCTTAGTTATGAGTGTTTTAAACTTTTATTTTACGAATAAATGGTCATACAATAATCTCATTTAATATAGTTAATAATAGTCACATAGAAGTGCTAATAAAAATAAAATAAATAGTAAATACTTCATAAATAAATATTAATTTATTTCCCTTCAAGTTTATTTAAATTTTAAATTAAAGACCTTAAAGTTTGCGGGATATATATGTCTAGCATATTTCCTTGGTCAGCAAAGTCTTGCCTTTCTAATCTCATCCTTGAACATTTACTTTTGTATAGTAGACAATTCTCAGCGTGAAATTCATTCAGAATTACGGCTCGGATTAAGGTAACTTTTGTAGTGAAAAGGCCCAGCACACAGTTCATGTACTTTTACACACCATTTTCAGCTTAGGAAAGTCTAGAGGCAGTCGCCAGACCTAGAGAGTAAGTGGAGATGGGGCACTTAAGCGTTTAAGTAAATTTAAAAACTTGTTAAGCCCAATAATGAAGCAATTTTCAGCGAGGCCTCCAAGGAATCCAATATTGTTCAACGAGAGTTTCGGTATTAAGCTTTCAGACAATGATTCTCGTAACTTTTATTAATTAGCCGTACTATTAAATCAGATGGCAGGCCAATGAGCTTAACCTTTGAGAAGGAATCCGATTCCTCTGCCTGTGCCTGTGCCTATCCCGATGCCATTGCCCCATGCTAATGATGGGTGTGTACAACACGGTCGAGTCCTGTTAATGGCCCAACCATGTGCCAAACATCGATCCTGCCCCGAAGACAGCTTCATTAGGGCCCAAAGGCTGGCACAAAGGGTTGGCCGGAAAGAGCCCACCTGCTGGTCCGTCGTATTGTTGATGTGGGCAACAAAGTTGAAATTAAAAAAATTCTCAACAGAAAAACTCAATTATGCTGCGCATTTCTCTGTTCCCAATGGGGTAACTTTGGGGTCTTTGTTGGCATTATTTTAATAAAAGCTTTACTTGAATGTCAAAAGACAGTGCAACTTTATGGAGTTACACAAACAAACAATCGGAATGAACTAAGGGTTTATTGTTGTATTAATTTAAATGTTTGGTAGCTATCTATTGATAGCGTAATTTGGTTAGATATATTAGTTAAAATAACATTAATCAGGCATATTAATTCCTAGCAGAATATGAAATATATTATATGAGCAATTAGATATATACCAAACATTGTACTTGTCTTTTCTCTCATAAATACTTTTCAGTGTGCACCTTATCAAGGGAAAAACTGCCAAAAGAAAAACCGATAATGACTGCAATTATGCCCAGGGAATATAGTGGTGGAAAACTGGTGGCAAAGTTTCCCTTGGCCCAGAGTTGGTGCATATGTCTAATGCCCCCATAAATCTTCATTCGTTCGCTTCGAGGCGACAATGTGCGCGTCATCAACATCATCGTCGATGTCGACTTATCCGCATCTCGCCGCACATTTGTTTCCCTTTCGTTGCGGCTTTTGTGTCCCGAAAGGATGCGTCATTTATCACCACAGTCTCTTTGGCTGTCATAATGAAGCACTGCAGCTTGGGAGTCCTGCAGCTGGGTCCAGTGCATCCATGGTTGCTCCATGATTTTTCACTTCTCACTGCCAGAGATCGAACAAAGTTGCCCCCACAACACACGCCAGTCAATCGCCTCAGAAAGTCAGTGAGTGACTGACTACATAAAGTCCCGATAGCCATCAGACATTAAAGCTTTACTATATATATACCATATTGCATTGCCACATAAGGTCGTCGTATTTCAATTTCCGTCGGAAATAATATCATTTAAAAAATTTAACCTTCCAGCTTCCCAGCAGCAGCAACAGAATGATGAGAGCTGTAATAATAAAGAGGAAATGAGTTCGAAAACAACATCCTTGCAGCCACGTAATGATAGCCATTGTTAAACGCAGAAATGTCAACAAGACTCTCTGTCTCATAATCCAATTTGTGTTCAATTTTCATTTAATAACGAGCTTGTACTTAATTTTTAAACATAATTAGTTTCTGCTCCATGTGTGTGTGACTCCTCCATATTGTGGTTAAGTGTTAAATATATGACCTTTTCTTAATGTTGATAGCAAAAATGTTTCATTAAATATAGTTCACTGAACTCTCTTTCCCTTCTTAACTATTTATAAACATATTTTTGGTAGCATAACGAATGTCCCACTCATATTAATCAATTTTAAAATGCTCATTATGGTTAGAAATACCCTACTTAGAGCAAAATGAAAATGGTACACAAAATGTTTTATTTAAGTGCATATTAAATGGCATCAAATTGACCTACCCACTTAGGGGCTTAACACCCCTTTTTACTACTATTTGGCCAAAAACATATTTAATTCTCCGTGTCCCGGGTCTGGGCCATCTCGCTTTAACAAATTTATTTGCCAAGGTGCGTGGCCTAAAACGCCCGCAAAACTGGCAAATATAGACGGATGGACGGGTCTGGGGCTTAAATGCAAACAAGTGGCAATATAAGTACGTAAATATGTGTATTTATGTATTTGCCCATATATGAAAGCTGGCTGACCCAGCCATATACATAAACCAAATAGGTAAACAGGCGAAGGCAGCGCCTAAAGAGGTTCTTTTGGTCGTGAAAAAACCTCTCATTGATATACTCTATGGGGAATAAGAATTTTAAAAATAAGTTGAATAATCTCTAAATTGTAAGCAGAAATATGTCTTTATTTAAAGAGAAAACTATAAACATTCCCCTGTGAAAGTCAGTTGGTAATTGAAAAGAGCAAATGGATAACTTTCTCAAATAAATACAAATTATATTCTCATTCATTTCTTTAATAAAAAAATTAAACAAATAAATTCTTCGTAGTTTTCATTTTTCCAAACATAAATAATTTCAAGAAGAGCATCCTAGTTTACTACACTCGTAAACCCAACAATTTGTTTCTCTTCTCTGTACTATATCCTGTATATATCCTATATCCTGTGTGTATTTGTATGTATTTTGTGTTTACCCTTTTTAGCATGACTTGCTCTTTTGTCGGTGACTGAACGTGTAAATTTATAATTAAACGCCAACACTTTTTTCCAGGAAAATGTAAGAGAGAGCCCCAAAAACTTGGACTTTGCCGTTTGCCTGCTGTTTCCGCCTTCGTTTTCAATTTTTCCCGGCCCTTTTCCTTAACATTGTGTGTGTGTGTGTTGTGTCCTGGACATTGTTGTGTGTCCCTTTTTGCGTTGAAATCTCTCGTGTAAGCACTTAATTAGTGGTAAAAGTTAAACAGAAACCGGCGCAAACATGCCACACCGAGAAAGAAGGTCCAAAACAAGAACAATAACAGCAAAAATGGGTCCGCAAATGGGATGAATTTATTTCATCGGACGCAGATTAGATTAAATCGTACAAGCTTTTGCATTTTCCACCGGAGCCAAGTTCCTGGGAAATACCATCCACCCACCACATCTGTGTGGATCTGTGGTTGCCCCACAGCCAGTGCCAGGACCAAAAGCAAGTGCCAACGTCAGTGGTTTTCCCATTTATTTATAAGCGATAGTAAGGGGACACGTATAGTATATAGTATTATATGCAGAAGCAAACATTATTGTTAATAGATGACCGTTTTTTGGCATGTAATTTGCTTTTATCAAGTTAATAATGCCCCTTAATAAGTGCCTGGTTATGCAAAATTTCCGGTCTCACATATATATATTGGTCAGCTTTTATGGCTTAAATGCATGCTTAGCCATGGTTGGGAACAGTGGATGGGAGTTAAAGTAATTCTAAATGAGGGAGAAAGTTGTGAAATATGGGATACATATTAAGAACTATATATTTTCTAGTAATATGTTATGGTATCATTTAGTCATCTAAAACTTTTCTTCTAGTTATCCAGAAAATGTATAACTTACCCATCATACCCTTAAGCTATTAACTTACCATTTTAACCTCAATTTGGTATGATTTTCTTCCAATTTTCCTCTCATTTCCCACAGTGCCCAACAGGCAACTTACATACATGGATTCGCTAGGGGACTCCCACAAAATAATGATTTGTATCTCAGAGCCATTTGCACGCATGCAGCAGCAGCAGGAGGAGTCGGAATCAGAAAAGCACGAAGGATATTCCCCGGGCACGCTTCGTTGCACAAATATAAAATAAAATTATGGTAAAAAAGTGAGTCACTCGCAGAGGCAAACTCCCCTTCCGTCTGCCCTCTATTTGCTTGCGGTGTTTAATTAACTTTCACAGTGTAATTGCTCAGAGAGAAAGAGAGGAGGAACTTTAAAACGATAAAACTTTTTATGAGCTGCCATTTTTGGAGTCCCGCGTTTGACTTTTGTCTGCCGAAATTACAATATGAAAATTTAGTTTCGCATACAAACGAAAACAATTAAAGTTGTGAAGGAACGCCCGCACATAAAGTCTACGCCAGGCTCCCCGTTTCCCCGGACATTTTGACATTTTGAAATGCATAAATGTTTGCGTTTGATGACAGGCAGGACAAAGCACCAGGATAAAGGAGCAAAGAGCCAGGAACCAGGAGCCAGGAGCCAGGACTCGTCAGCAGGACGAAGCAGACAGGTGACGAGTTGAATATTTTTTGTCGCTTCTGTCTCGTTTATTGCGACCCTGCGGTGATTTCTCGGCAAGTAAACAACACTGGCAGGACACCAAAAAAAAAAATAATAAAATAAAAATATATAAAAATAACTACAATAAAACGCAGACTTGGAGCTGGTAAACTTTTGTGACTTTCCGTGCTAATGGTTCAATTTATTTACCCGAGTTACCTCGACAGTTTTACAAAATATGACAACGACGACAGGACCGAGGAGGAATGCAACTTTGCCATGAAACTATTTTCAAATTTTAATTGCTGCCGCTCACGGTACACAGCCGGGGCGAAATTAACTGCAAACTTTATTTGGCTTTCGTTTTAAATTTCCATTCTCCCCTGGAAAATAGCTCAGCGAAACATTGCCTTCGCTAATTGCAGGTAAGTTGCATACTTTTGGAGAGCTAATTAAATGTTGTGAGGCAATTTTGAAGATTGCTTTTGTTTTTTAATGATTCGTCCTTCCAATCCAAAAGATTTCTCATTGGAATTAGGATTAAATTTGTTAATTACAACTAAAACTAAACACGTATCAATCAGTGCAAATTGCGTTAGTCTGTAAAATATTTGCACACAATTAAGCCAAGGGCCGGTGAGCGTGTGAGGATAATTTATGATTTCATTTAGGCAACTCAACAGCGCGTAATTATGCGGCCTCACACGCGTCCCGTTCATTTACCTGATAATCGCGCATACGCCCCGTGTGCCCACCAAATCGCGTATACGCCCCGTGAACCGTGCAAGGATTGCGGCCAAATTAGAAAGCGTAACGTATGGACTGTTGACCCAAGTGACTGGAGCTGAAACCCTTGCCACCGACACCAGTAGGTAGTATTTTTTGAGTGGCTGTGTGAACTGAAGCAGGTGAGGTCAGAGTTCGAAATTAAGTATACGCCCTGGTGTGCTAACCAATAGAGATCCGGTTAAAGCCCCGCGTTGATTAGACTTTCCTTTTCGTGTTTGATGTCAAGGCATGAATTAATCGAAATTAAATAAAGCCCACTCACATTATCGAGCATTTAAGCGATGTAACGATTTAAATAAAGGTAACGCCATGCAATTACATAAAAACGTTGGCAGCAGAGAAATTTAATTAAAATATATTCGCTTTGCCTGAAAATCAATATATAAAATTATAGGAAAAGAGCGCGGGTGGAACGTACAGTAAAAGGTATTTTAAATAATAGTTTTATTTTCAAACCAAATACATTTTATTGTTTCTCATTGAGAATTTCGATATATGCATGTATTTATATCTATATTATGGTTACAAATTGGTGATATTTCATCATTTATAGCTAAACTTAAATGAAAATGAAATTAGTCAAGGGATTTTAAATGGCATTGTGACAGATACAAATATAATTAGCTAATTGCATTAACAGAAAATAACTGAATAATAATATTTGCCTGCTGAAATGCACAAATTGTTTTGTATTTTTATCGGTAATTGCGTTTTTCTTTTTTTACTTTTCGTTCTTTATTTAGTTTTTTATCATCATTTTCACACATTTACCTTTACATTTGATAATTACTTGTTGTCGGGCATTATATTTTATTTATATAATGGCAACAGAATTATTTACGCTATGCATAAAAATTAGCACTAAATGTAGTTATAGTTTAGTTTATTGTTTAGCTGATGGGAAACCATTTACAGGGGGGAGGTGTGGAGAGTGAAGGGTAATAAATTTAAAGTTTCTATACATTTTAAATAATTCATTTCAAAAACAAACAATATTCCCAAACATTTAAATGGTTTCCTCATCTTATTTCCTTCGGATTTACACAAGTGTTGTTTGTTATGCTTAACTATGAATTCATTGTATATACAGGATGCTTAAAAGTGGACAGCACTTAATTATCATGATGCCAAGGTGGGTGACCTCAGAGCCCGCTGCTCCTCATCGCCGATCTCCCAATGCAGGTGGCAATAATTGATATGCAGAGTGGATGATAAATTCGAGGTGCTGCTCCTGCTCCTGCCACCAATAAGCCATCGCACCACGGAGCTGACAACCATCGCCAGGAGCAGCAGCAGGATCTGGCGACTGCTGCTCCGTATGGAGCTGCCACTGGCTCCGCTCTTCTGCATCGCCGCAGGACTCTCATCTGCACAATGAAATGGAATGAAAATCGAATTCGAAATGAAAATGCAAATGCGAAATGCGGGAAATCACGGGCTAGTTAAGTCTTACCATTGATGACATTGACCACCACGCTGGCCGCCTCCGCTGTGGTCGGCATGCACGTATAGTTGCCCGTGTCCAGCAGCTGAGCGTTGGCGATGCGTAATCTGGGAAAACATGGAAACCATGGGGCAAAGCTTAAGGCAAACGTGCAGCTTAATTGCGTCAATTTTGTGCCCCTTCACAGCCAGCGAATCAGTGCAGCCCCCTCCCCCATATCCTCAGTCTCAGCTGGGATCCTGGTATTCTGCTTTTCCGCTTTTCTGCTATTCAACTTCATCGATCAAAGCCCGGAATACCGAGCAGGAAGCGTCCGGAAAAGCTCGCACCTGCTGGCACTTAAAAATCCCCCTTCCCCCCCTTCCGCATTCCGTACGAACTTATGGCCAAGGAATGCCTCTAACAAGGCAGAAAGTGGATGGAGTATGTTTGTCCTTTCACTACACTTGGAAACTCTTCAAGGCAATTAGTTTTTAGGTATTTGCTAGGAAATTATTTACACAAAATCTTATTTCAGAATTCGGACAAAGACTAAGTGGTTGATATTTATTTATTAAAATTTAAAAGAGTTTTATATGCTTGCTATTTTCTTAAACCTTGGTAACTAGGTTCTATTCTTTTCTCGAGAAAAATGTTTGCTATTAAATAAATTCTTTAAATATTAGAATGGAAATAGACTTTGGAAAGCCTATACTTGCACGTTATAAATGAATTGTAAGTGACAATATTTATAGAGATTTTTGTATGCCATTTTCTCAAAAACTCAAATTTAAGAACTTCATACCTTAGCCAAAAAATCTTTATTTTTAATTTAAAAAGCAGTCCTATCTTAGTTTTTATCTTGTTAATAAATCTGCATACTCAATTTAAAGTTTTTAAAAATTAAATTTTTTGTCACATTTTTGACAATTTTGACGATGTAACCCCTTGTAAAATTTTAAAAATTTTAAAAAAATTTATTTTTTCCCGGACATAGCTATATCGATTCAGCTTTCTATACTGATCAAAAATATATATGATTTATAGGGTCGGAAATGATTCCTTCACGAATTATCACCAAGGAACCCTTAAATATGTCCCTTATAGAAACTATATATCAATATTTATATATGATCCATTTTTGTAAAAAATTCCACTTTTTCAAATATCATAACTAAGACAAAAATATACTAAATTCAATTCGGATTTCAATTCTATACTAGTTTTTTAAAGGTTAACAAATCTGCTTACTAAATTTCAAAGTTTGAAAATTTAATTTTTGGTCAAATTTGGACAATTTTAACGATGTAAGCCCTTATAAAATTTTTAAAATTTAAAAAAAAATAAATTTAAACCAAACATAGCTAAATAAATTCAGATTTTAATGCTGATCAAGAATATATATGACTTATAGGGTCGGAAATGATTCCTTCACATCTTTAGAAGCTTCTGTCTAATATTATAATACCCTAAAAAATAATGACTTTTATATTTCCTAGCTAATTATTTTCATTAATTATTATTTCCATCTTCTGTCAATCCTTAGAGCTTAATTCACTCTTTCCTTGAGCTTCTTAATCACATTACTTAGCAAACTATTAACTCTTTCTATTAATGCTCTTCTTAAATACTGAAAATGTCTCATCTGTTAATTTTTCCATTTGATTTGTGGCATCTATTCCCCAGTGTATATGTACATATAATGCTGCTCACCTGCTTTGAAGCTTCTCGGCCAGTGTGGATTCCATGGAGATGCGCTGCAAATCGATGGCCGCATCATTCGGATGAGCGACAAACGGCGTGAGAATGTATGGGCCGCGATACCAGTAAATTGGCCCAATATCCTGGACTGATGTCCCCGGCTGCTTCACCAGGCATGTGAGTGTGACGCTGCTGCCCACTTTGACGTACAAATCCGCCGGGCCGGCAATAATCGCCTTGGCATCTGGCGGCGTGACTGAGCGCCGGAACGCGGAGGGTGAAAATTGATTAATAGCATATCGAGGTGCTCCAGCTCCCAGCTCCAAACCCAGGACCCAATTATGGGTTGTTGGTTGGATGGAGTGGGGCGGGGAACTGCATCTAATCATGCAGATTTCAATGGGTTTTCAACTGATTGGAGAAATGGGTGGGTATGGGTATGGGTATGGTTTGTCTGGCTGAAATTGCAGGCGATTTGCAGGCAGGAACAACATTCGAAGCCTTTCTGAAATGGCCTGCCAGGATGCTTGTGTGTTTTGTGGTGAAATACCTTAAAGGTATAAATGCGGAAACCTACTTATGCAAGTGCCTGTTAATGCCAGGTAATGAGCAGCTGGCTGAGGTAGAAGATGTCCCCTGCAAAGGGGTCCTTCGTCCAGGCTTAAACATCAAGCTAAAGTTGATAAAGGCTTTTAGTGTGCTTTATATAATATTATATCCTAAGAGAAACCGCTTCGAATTAATCTCAATTTTTAAGTGCCTTTTCTATCTCACTCCCTCTCTCTCCATAAATGAAAAATAATAAAAGCTCGTACCAAAAATCATATAAAATTTTAATTTTACATTGCCGGCATAAAAAATCCAATATTGTCGATTCATATTTCGATTTTTCGGGATGAACAACAAATTTTAATAGTTTCTTACGACAGGGAGGAGAACCTTTATGGCTGCTCAAGTTCTCTGCTTTTTTTATATACCAAAGCTATTATGCCTTCCTTCTGGTAAAAAATCGTTACCCAAAAATTAAATGAAAAAACTAACACATAAAAATTTGTTGGCTTCTTTGATGGCCTTGGCTTGGCTTTTGGGGTGAAACTTGTCCTGCCTGCCATATCATTGACCCATTGTTTGTCGATGAAGCTGTTGGTTTTGGCTGGTGGTCTCGCATTTTACACACATTTTAAGTGTTGTTAGCCGGTTGTTATTGTGACCCAGCGAGCAGCAGGAGCAGGAGAAGGAGCAGCCGGTGGGCCATTGGAATTAGGACCAACTTGCCCCGGATGCGGACGTGCCATTAAATGTTGTTCCCCTATCCGTCCGTCCGTAGGTCCGTCCATATATACTACAGTACGTATCCGTATTACGCAGATGTGTGTACGTGTGGCTTTTCTAATATTGGCGCTGGCTCTTTTGGGAGCACAGGATAAGCTGCTTCCCATCCGCCGACACCGCCACCAGCTGCCGCAGACAGAGACAAATGTGTGGAGGATGTAGGACCAGCCTTTCCATACCAATGCAGGGGAAAAAATTACAACCAATTTAAAATAAAATATTTGTAATGATTTAATAAATAATCCCTTGATATATCTCAGAAATCTTTCCTCAAATATCTAAATACTAACATATTAAATATAAAACAACAGCAAACACAGCTTAAATGTATAAATAACCCCATAACCACTATATAAATATTTAAAGACTTTAAATCTATACCCATATTTTTTCTCTCTGCATACCACTTTCCCGTTATAGGCACTGAAAATTGGTTTAATGTTTTTTCCGTGCGTCGACCAACCATTTTGGCCAACACAGCAGGCAGTCAACAAAGTCAAATGTTGACGTTGTTAATGATGTGCGGGGTAGAGCCCAGCCGAGCCGAGCCGAGTGGAGCTGAGCAGACAGCCAGGACTCCACCATGGTAGTCCCGAGTCCTGAATCCACAGGACTCCATGGACTCCATGGGAGTGGGACATCAGTGGAGCATAAAGGCGGATTTGAGCGCTGCTCGCAAACAACAAACAACTGCAGTGGATATGTGGTGAGTGGTGAATGGTGAGTGGCGAGCAGAGCGAAAGAGCAATTCGGTTAGTTAGTTAACTTGGCATTAGTGGGACCCATTGACGCCCCCAATAGATTGTGTCTTAAATGCCATTGGCTTTCCCAAGCTCTGAGATTGGAAATTCGAAGCAGACCTATGTATGAATGTGTTTATATACTACTATTTTATACAAGGGTTGCTTGGGAATTGAAGGTAAATCCCCTTCATTTTTTAGTTTATACTCACTCCAGAGGTGGGAGAATATTGTGACAAGTTGAAGGGAAATTTTATGGAACTGACAAGGAACTATCAATTAAATAGAAGTATTAATACAATTTCTTGTTTAGAGCAAAAGATATAATAAATCAAATTAAATATATATACCTCGAAAAGGCTATCTTCGAAAAGCACACGTTTATACACCCTGTGCAAATTAATTATAAGATAAAATTTGAAATCAATCATAAGTTAGTATAAAATAATCACCTTCTTCGAATGTATATTTAACGAGATTTTTATATGAGAATTTTTTCCACAAATCAAAGTTTAGAAATCTAATAACTAAGCTAAAAAATCATTAATTTTAATTCGGAAAGCTGTCCTATGTTAGTTTTTATTAGGTTAATAAATGTGCATACTCAATATAAAATTTTTAAAAGTCAAATTTGTTGTTCAAATTTTTAACAATTTTAACCCCTTATAAAATTGTCAAAATTAAAAAAAAAATTCATTTTTGCCAGACATGGTTAGATCGATTCAGCTTTTAATGCTGATGAAGAATATATATGGTTTATAGGGTCGGCTCCTTCACTTAGTTTTTAGCTTCTAACTGAAATTATAATACCATTCTTTGAGCCGCTAATTATCAATATTTTTAAATAAAAATGTTGACAAATCAATGCATTAAAAAACGCATAACTTAGCCAATAAAGCATTAATTTTAATTCTTAAAGCTGTCCTATGCTAGTTTTAATTAGAATATTAAATCTGCATACTGAGTTTCAAATTATAAAAGTTTTAAAATTTTGACAATTTTACATTTTAATCTTATCTTATTTTTGACAAAAAAAAATATGAAAAAAAATTTTGAAAAAATAAATTAAGTCAGACATTGCTATATCGATTCAGATTTTATTGCTGATCAAGAATATATATGATTTATAGGGTCGGAAATGATTCCTTCACAAGGTTAGAAGCTTTTGACTAAATTATATACTTTGAAAGGGTAAAATTTTTATATATATAATTTTTTTAACTGAAACATTTCTACAAATATATTCTTAAATTTAAAGCTAATGTCTAAGTCATTTTTATAAATAGATCCCTTCTTTTTATATCCTATTTCTCATTCATGTCGCACATGATTTGACAATCTTTTCAATTCCAAGAAGAACAAACTTTTTTATAGAATCCCCAACTTCCTTCGGATGTGTCTGTTTCCAAGAATTAAAAATCATCCAAAAGTGGCTTTTACCCACACATTTCATGAGAATACATAGCTTTTTTTGGATTTGGCCCGGCATAAATCAGTGGGAAATATTTCCTTTGGCGCTTCACGTGATTCGCGTGACGACGGCGTAAATATTTTTATCACGATTTCATCACAGACGAGCGTTTCTGTCGCTGCAAATCATTAGCATAAATTTCTTAACTTGGCAGCGACTTTTGCTGCCTTTTTCCTGGCGAATAACATGGCTGTCGGCTTCCTGTCGCCGCTCAGCTTCACTCCACTCCCAATTTTCCCCAAAGGACCAAGGACCAAGGAGCGAGGAGCGAGGGATTACCTCGCGCACATCCGCAGTGCAGTTCCCGGGCGGGCAGGATGTTTTCCCACCTTTCCCCCATCGCATCCGGATCCGCGGAAGCTGGAAGCTGGAAGCTGGAAGCTCTGATGCAACTACATGGCTCTTGATGAGATTTACACTCTTTGACTTGAGTTCGTTATAAACTGGCGGCATGCAGCTTGCCGGTGGCAGGCAATTTCGAGCGGCAATCTTTTATCAGCACCGGATGCGATCCCGTTTAAGTCAAGCTTACCCTCGGAACAAATTCAGGCCATGGTTTTTGGTTAATTTAATTAAATGCACTTGGGAGAAAAGTTTAATAAGCTTATAGTTTGAGTAATGAAATGGCATATGTATAGGGAAAATATATTTTGGAATGCAACATAACTCCTTGTGGCTTAGAAAGTAATTGAAAAAGTTTAATATCAGGGGTATTTTTACACTCCCAAAAACTAGATTGATTTATTTAGAGAAGATAACTTTTAATACTTTTTAAAGGTTTATTTTTGTAAGCAATCTTTAAAGACTTTAAGAGCATATACTTTGTTAAAAATCAATCTTTCTCTTTGTGTAGATTTCTGCTCGTAACTCAGGGAACATTACAGGAAAACATTGAACAGAGGAATCCGACAGAAACTAAACCAATCACGACCAAAGTAGAAAACTCCTTCCGATTATTTCAATTAACTTTCCCGCTGGACAAACAAAAACTTTCCTTCGTATAAAGTATATTCCTCCTGCTACCCTCGTCCTTCAACTCATGCAATGACGACGACAAACGAGAAAACTAACTGGGGAAAGAGAGTCCCCTGGCGGGATGAGGATATCTCCGGCCATGGAATACTTACTTGCTCGCTTCGCTGCCTGGTGCGCGGCGAAAAAGTTTCAAATCAATTTTACGTACATGAATGAAACATGAACGTGTATGCTTTGTGGAGCAATTTATAACAACACAGAGCCACAAACAAACACCGAGTGGGGGAGAGTATCCTGTGTGGCCCAGCCTGACTTGGATCGCAAACGGAAATCCATTGTAGAAAACTTGCCAAATGGCAGGACAATGAGGCAAAAAGGGGAACAACGTAACGCTCCTTCTCGGGTGTGTATTACAACAGCCAGCATATGAATTTAGTATTGAATTTAAATGCAAATTGCGTTTGCATGCAAAGCGTGTAGAAAAATAGACAATTGGGGCTAAGAGAGGGAGGGTCCTTGCTCCTGGCAGGTGCCAACAGTTGTTACATAACCTGACCGACTTAGTTTCCATTTTACCTTTAAAGCGTGAACCCTTCTCGAGGCACTTGCAAATGCCTCTTTGAATAAGGAAATTTGGAAGAAAAAAAAGTGGTGAATATTTGATCAATTTATTTGTATGCTTTTCCTTAAAGGCAAGGGGTTTGTCTTAACTGGGTTAAGCTATGGAATTTCCATATTAAGATTCTTTCACAGTAAGTTTTATTCAAGAGCATAAACATTTTAAAACAGTTTAAACCATTACGTTGAAGAATCTTGTTTCCCTAACCAGCAGCAAATCACTTTTGACTTGATGTTCCACTCTTGGCCCAGGATCCTTGGCTGACGGGGATAAACCATTATGAAGCATTGCCAGGAGAAACTCTCTGGCTCACAGGATCTCCGTGAGGGGGAAAGTCCTCAGAAACTAACAAACTTTACGGCCAATTTACAAAAGCCCTTCAAGAGAGTGAGGGAGAACGAAATGCAGAGTGTATAAAAAGTTGCCATTGCAGGTCGTGCGAATGCCAGCAACTCGCTGACAATGCGTATGCACCTGCCACAGGGGAGGAGGTAAGTAGAAGGAAAATGAAAGCTGGAGGGGATTGGGATGGGGATGGGAATGGAGATTGGGTTGGCAGCTGCAGCTGGATGCCTGCCTTACTCACCTATGACATTCAGGCGGAATGCCATCGAAATCTTTGGCTCCGTATTCACTTGGCATTCGTAGATGCCGCTGTCACGTGGCTGGGCATATTTCACATGCAATGTCCAATCCTTGGAGTCGGCGGTCCGCACCACCTGCCCAGAGTGGGAGAGAGAGATAGAGTGGGTGGATGAGACAGGATGGCAAGATAAATCGTTGCTGGGGTTTACTGGCAGAGTCCTTGGTAAATTTAATCAATGCATACAAGTTGCCTGGCCCGAATTGCATACGCAATTAAGCTGACTTGGCTTACAAGGCCCGTTGGACATTTAATAAGTTACCTCCGTCTCCTGCTGTAAACCCAACCAGGTGGCGTCCTAATTTTGGCCAAGATTATATTACGTATACGCACCTTGAAACGCTCATCAGATGTGTAGGTCAAAATGCCTGCAGTCAGAATGTGCAAATCGCGTTTTCTTATCCAGGACACCTGCAATGGAATCAAAAAATGGAAGAAGAGAAAGAAAGGACACCAAATGCTGTTAGTGCCAGTGCTTAAGTCAATTTTGCAAAATTGCCTCTGGTCCTGCCACTCGACTGGCTGCTCAGGACCTCTCTTCTAAGGAGCCCCAAAAAAAAAAAAAGTGTAGATACGAAAATTTAATAAACCAAGCGGCAAAATGAACTAAGCAGGCAAAGTCTTAAACCTGCTGAAGCCAAAGTAAAGACAGTGGAACCTCATTATAAAACACTTTCCTTTTATTAATTTCCAATTTACTCTGCTAATTATTTTAAAATTTAAGTATACAAATCTATTTTTAAATTGTAATTCCCTTACGCCTTTAAAACCACTTCAAAATGTTCTTGCTTGGAATGCGGTTACATTTTTGTGGCAACCGGAATTCTTAATTTCTCAAGTTCTTAACTTCCTGACCAACTCTGCGAAAATTCCATAATTTTTTGGTGTAAAAAATTCCACCGTATCCATAATACAAAGTCGATTCCAGGAGCCGGGGATGAAAAACTGAGACAAGTGCGTGCCCAAAATGTCAGCGGCTTAAAGTTGCCAGAAGTGAATCCCCCTCGAACCACCAAAAAAAAAAAAAGAAATTCCAGAGCCACTGCAGCAGGCAAAAAGTAATCTCCCAGACGGCCGCGGGGCCAAACAAAAAACTTTTCGGAGCCCCAAACGACCCCAAAACCAAATGGAAAAAATTACGAGGAAAAGGAGCCACAATATAAACGGAACTAAAAGTGTCAAAGTGGTGAATGGAGAGGAAGTGACTCCAAAGGATACGCAGACAGAACGCGTGGTAAATAGATGAACCTGCAAGGTGCGCGATAGTAAATCTGGATCAGACTACGCTCCATTTCGCGGACGAGATGGATGATGATTGCGAATGAGGACGAACTGGCAGTCCTTCCAAATTAACAAAAGACAAACAGCAAGGACACGAAATAGTTATCATTAAAATTAGAAAGCGGAAGGATCAGGGATACGAGGAGAACTAAACATTTATTAAAGTTATTATACATTTAATCGCATTTAAAAGTAAATCAGATCATGCTTCTACACATTTACCTTTCCATAAAACACTTATGGAAATTGATAAATTAAATTATAAAAAACAAAACTCTGCTCTTTAAACCCTTTATTCCCCCGGAAAACTCCCTGATAAAAACGACACCCTCTTCTTTAACAATTCCTGAAAGGAAAACACAAGGAACTGAATAAACACAGCCAAGCTCATAAAGAAAACTCTGAGCGGGTCAGAAGGGAAACTTTGTCATTGAACCGGCAAAACAAGGAGGGTGGCTTAAAACCAAGCAAAGGGGGAAAATTCTACAAGTTTCAAAGAGGGGAAAAAGTTGCTGCTAACTTGATTTTCAGCTTCACTGACGATCCAAATATTTTTCTTTAAAAATGCATTAAAAAATGCGGAAGAAATCAATTCAATGATAAGCCGGTAAATGCAATCACTTGACTCTCTTCTAACTCTCACCGATTTGTCTCCCAGATTCTCCACGCGACAGTTGATGGCCGCCGTGTGTCCTGTCCTGGCCGTGATATTCCTCGGCATTCCAAAGTCAAAAACGGGTGGCGGATAGGTGGTCTCGTCCAGTGGCTGCTCCTCAGCCTCCTGGTCATCGTCCAGGCCATTGCCAAACTGTGGCACCTTGCTGTTGACAGAGGCAATGTAAACGTAATCATTATCCATGCTCGGTGGCGCGGAAATTATGGGCAACAGGTTGTTCCTGCCATCGACGATGTGAGCTAAAAAGAAGAGGGGAAAATTTGTTAGAAAAATCATCATTTAAGGGAAACAAGGTATATATTTGTTCTACATTTTTTCCTCCTGTTTTTGTAAGGTTTTAAGGTTAAAAATATCACTGGATATGACAGTTTCATGTAATGTAATGCGTGTTTAATATAATATTAGGTACTGTATTCATTTATATATATTCTTTTAACAGTTTAACCCATTTTTAAATACCAGTTCTTAAAGCACTTCCTGATTGATCTTTTATTTCTACACTTTCTATCATTTCTGTGAAAAAAACATCCTGTTTCCAATTGAAATAAAACCGAAACAGTTTAAAAACCGCAAAAGTCTTTACTCCCAGCTTGTCCTTTACGAGCTCAGAACCAGAAAAAAAAGAGAAAAGCTAGAAGGACCTTCTCTATCCTGCAAACTAAAAGGAATATGTCAAAAGCGAGCAAATTAATTAAATGCCACTCAACACTCGGTAGCAAATGCTTCTATCCTTCCTAGTCCAGATCCAGATCTGTATTAGTTCCATACGTATACGTAATATATATACGAATATATATATGTATATTTGTGTAAAAGTGGGACTGCACACTTGAATTTATTTCAAAAATGCACGATGACATGGCATTTTACGGCTCGTTAGGATGAAAGCTAGCTGCAGCAGCAGAAAAGGATGACAAAGCGAAGGACAATAAAAACAATAAAACAAAACAATGGGCTAAAAATGCTCATAATATTTATATATATACACATTTATATATATACATCATATATAGCCAAACGATTTGAACGATTTCCGTGGCGCATTTCAAGTCGCCAGGCTCGGCTAAACAATGGAAATTGTTTTTAATTAAAATAAATGAGTAGTTTTTAATGACTCAAGTGGCCGTGGCCCTGGCACACATACCATAAGCCATAAACCAGGGTGCAGAGTCATCAGAGAGCCGAAAAGGATACTCCCGGTAGTTGCAGCAATATAAAACTCATTTATTCCTGTCGGTGATGAGTTCAGGAAGAGAGTATTTAGTAATAAAGCGGCAGGAAGGATCAAAGCGAGCGAAGTAAATGTGGCGAAGAGCACTTAAGGGACATAGATGACAGAAATAAATAAAATATAAATAATAATACACTCAAAAAATGGTTTCTTTCTATGCTTGAATTCTTATAATAACTTCAAGCTTTATGTACACAACTTTAAACCTTAATTAACCTCATCTGCATAACTTTCAATGTTTTATTATCAAAAATGAAAACTTTAAATGAGGTTATTGCCTCCCCGTAAGCCATTAACTTTTATTACTTTTCTTCTATGAAGATATTATGTTCGTTCTTTTAACATTTTTCATATTCAGACATCATCTAGTTTGAGAATTCTCATTGCCAAACCAGAAACGTGCTCGACTCAACAAGGTTCAAAGTTCACGCCGACAAACGCGTATAAATTATAAATCACTCAGCAACATTGCTATGTTGCAGGTGGAGAAGATGCACCGATGCTGCACCATGGACTATCTTCATTCGCAGCGCCCAGGACACGTATCCGCACACCCTCTAGGTTTTTGCATTTGAATTTATTTGACATTTTAATGAGCGCATAATGGCAGGGTCGCCTAGTCGCGACTCGCTTGCTGATAATGGCCAGGTAGGAAAGGTAGCACAGAGTCACCATAACTCTAACAAAACTGTCGGAATAGTCATGGCATAAACCCACCCACAGTTACATCCTTTTCCTCATCCTCGTCCCATGTCCATGTCCATATTCCTGCTGTCGACTGCCTTCAATCCCTAACTGGGTCACTCACTTTTACCGGCTGCACTTGAATCTTTTAGGCCATTGGGGTGGCACTTGTGCATGTTAGACACAAAAATCTAAATTATTTAAGTGCCCGCCCCGCCCCGCCCCTCACTTACGCCCACATATGCAAAAGGATGCTGATGCGAAGGGAGAGCAACTAGCCACATGGAGATGTACGATTTACAGTGAGTACCGGGTATTACATGGTATGTTATATAATTTATTATTTAAAATAATTAATTAAACAATTAATTAAAACAATTAGAAACAAGCTAATATTGTATATTATAAAAAGAACTTTTAATAAATTATTATAATGTAAACATCTTTATATTTATTGTTCAGTATTTTTCTTAGAATTTAAACATAATTTGCCATAGTTTACATGATCTGTTATATATTTTATTATTTAAAATAATTAATTAAAGTAACCTTTAATCCAGGGAAACAAAAAAGAAACAATTAGAAACAAACTTCTATTACATATTTTGAAAAGAACTTTTAATAAAATTTTATATTGCCAACAAATTTGAATTTATTGTTCAACATTTTTGGATAGAATTTTAACATAATTTGTCATAGTTTAATGATGTCAATAATGCAAATATTTATTTTAAATAAACTTAAAATGGGTAAAAATAAATAAAAACCATTGAAAAAATCTATTTTTTCCAACCAATAATCACGGTAAAAAATGCAGGAAAAGAACTCTACGCTTTTATGGCAAAAGTAGTCTAAACTTGGAAAATACTGCCGGAAAATAAAACTAGATGCGAAATGCCAAAGTGAGTGCTGCAGTTCGCTAGCCCTCTCACTCTCTCCCTCTCACTCTCTCACTCTTTCCCTTGCCATATCCTTTTTTATCCTTGCACTCTCACACACACAGAGAGATACACTTTCAGTTTTGGCATCATTTAGATGCTCGTGGAGCAACTGATGCAAATTTAATTTGGACACCTCGCAAAAAAAAGCGCCGCACACGAGAGAGGAGAATCGGCAGGACGAGTGTCCTGGGTGTGGGTGTGGGTGTGGGTGTGATGGCAGCATAACTTGCACTTGAGTGTGTGTGAACTGCAACTAATGATGTTGCAGGCACTCGCATGCGGCTTTTTGATTTAACGATCGGCCGCTGTTTTTGTTTGCTTTTTATTTACTTCTGATGATTTTTTGTTAGTGCCGCGAAGTCAGCTTAATGGCTTGGTTTGGTTGGTTAACCCAATGGCTGCGGTTGATGGCCATCATCCAGTGGCCCTTTTTTTTGTACCAACTTTCATCCATAAACTTCATGCTTTGTTTTGCGCCAGGCTATATTTTTATTCGCCATGAATATCAACGGCAGGCAAAAAGCAAATTATTGCCCTTCACCTGCTCTGAGTCTGGGAGAGTGGACTCATAACGAAACAAATAAAAACCTTTCACTCAACTTAAACCAAAGGACAGAAAAGCAAAAGAAAAAAATAAGGCGTTGATTGTCATGAAATCGATCTAACGCAGACGGAAAATCGGCTTTTCTTTTTTTTCAGGGGCGACAAAAAATTATTTCAGGCCTCTTTGTCGACTTAATGACTTTCGAGACGAATTTACCTTTCAAGGCTCGAGGGTAAGAATGTATAAGCTGATTTGACGGTGACTTGATTTTCCCGGTAATAATGGAGATACAAAAAGGAGCAAAGGACTCTGGCAATAAATAGGTGCCAATGAGTTTGTTTATTTTATTAGGTATCTTCTAAAAAGGTTCAGATAGTAGACATAATGAAAAGCTAAAGCTTTTCATCACTTAAATAAGAAAAGGGTGAAAAAATAATCTTTAAACAGCTAAGATATTTATTTATCAGGAATTTCTTTTTGGTTTGCATGCATTTTGCAATATTTTAAAGCAAACAACTTAAAAGAAGTTTTGTAAGTAATATAAATAGTTATACTTGCTTATTAATTACTTTATTTATAACCCGATTTCTTTAAAGATAACACCTTTTAAGCTACTTAAACAGCTTTAATATTATTGTTATAGAATTAGGAAAATCGCCTTAGAAACTCTTTGACCCCCCAGCCCGACACCTTCACAAGGACCTAACCAAAGTCCTTTAAAATCATTTGGCTTAAAGCACTTTAAACACATTCCGCCTCGGGGAGTTGCAGGACGTCAGAAAAGGAAAAAAAAAATCAAGAAGGCCTTTTGAAAAATTCAATAAGCAGTCCTCTGTATCAATGTCCTCGAGGAGGACTCTAGGACTCGGGTCTAGTTGTCTATCTGCGGTGAGTGACTGTGTGGGGAATATTTATTAAAATCGCTGTTCACAATTTTTATTTTGCATATCAAAAGGCGTCCGTGAGCGGCTGTTGGCCCCAAACATTCTTGTGCGGAAGCATGTCCCGAGAGGATTTCCCTTCTATTTTGGTTCTTGTTTTTCTCGTTGGATATATGTACATACAAATATATATACATATATATATTTGTTTAAGCGGCATATCATTTCGCCAGTGGCCAGTGACGGCAGCAGGACATTTCTGAGGTCCTGGGCTTGGACCCATTGAAGTTGGTTTGGTTGTTACTGTGGCCAAAGCAAACGGGCTGCTAGATGGCCCAAGATTACCACCACCAGAAGAGCCTTGCTTGGAATCCAACGTTCCGTTCCAAAGTACATATATTGTATGGCATTCGGGGCAGCGTGTTGAGGTTGAAAGTGCATCGCTTGAGGCTCTTGGCAAACGTCTCGCTTACATGGATTTCAATGTGGCCAGGAGAGATTAATGGCCCCAGTTTTCACAGACAGCTACGGCTCCTTCTCCTGCTCCTATTCCAGCTCCTCCAAAAGGCGTCGAAGGCGCATAATGGCCAGTCAGTGGAGGCAAAGTGGAGCGTATGTTATTTCCCAAAATGGCCAACGGCTATTAGTTGCGGACAGTTGTTCCATCTTATCATGGAAACTCGGCTGATATTATTGAATTTGACATGAGGAAGAAGTTTCTAAGCATATGCAGGGGTTTAACATTTATTTGAATTTAAAAGTTCAGTTGGAAATATTTTTTAAAATAAGGTTAAAATATGTATATATATATATATATTTGGTGTCAAGCTAACACGGAATTGTTATTTTTATGAACAAATTGCTTTGGTAAACCACACTTAAGTCTTGTATTATTTATAAAGTTTATTATTTATGCTGCCAGACAAAAATGACTGTCTGACATTAATCGATTTTCTTT